AATGAGAGGAAGCCGCAGATCCTGTAATGTGGAAATGACCAGAGGAGACCAGTGGAGAATGCGGAGAAGAATCCGAAACTCAAGGTCGCAAACGGCCATCGAATTCCAATCTCGCATAGTGCTTCGTGTTGATGTCGGCATCCCCCAAGGCCTCATCAAAGTGCCAAATGAAGCTAGGCGCAGGGTCTCCCTCCGCTGACAAGGCGCTGTAAACTCAGCGCCCACAGAGGCCCTTGGGCGGCCCTGTCCCCACCACCGCCTCCAGCTCTCTCCCGGACCGTGCGCAACGCCTTCAGTGGAGGCCGGGGGTGTCGTCAAACACCCACCTCTGCCGGGATGACCACACCCTTGACGCCAGCCCCTAGAGACACCCCCATGGCCCCGCTGAATTAAGCTCAGGTACCGGTACGTGAAGAAGCGCGGCGGGGAAGCGGCGGACAGAAGCGGAAGGAAGCAGGTCCCTCCTTCCACCCCCTGCGCCGACAAATCAACTTCCACGATTCACAGCAAATGACAGTCGAGCGGATCCATGCTGTCCCCCTTTGTGACGTCACTCGACGTCATGAGCGTTCTTATCGACGACTCGGCTGTGCCCTCGCCTGGCGGCCATGGCCAACGCAGACAAGGTCAAGGAGGGATGGAGCGACAATTCGCTCATTCGGCATCTACCTATGTATCACGGTGGGCTGCGAGTATCAATTGTTGCATCGGGTCTAAGACGTCTTCTTCCCTCAGCGCATGTGTGCGGAGAGTGATGTCGATGTGCGTGGTTCAATGCGTGGTGGCAACCCAATCAGGGGGGTTAGAATGAGTGATTCTGAGAAGGCATGGACCGTGTACTTAGGGCAGGATCGACATTCCTAGTCACACTTGCCTCAGGTACCTCATGCATACCTTCCCAAAGCTCCATGTTGTGAACTGGACTGGCAGGAGCGTTTTCCCATTTCGTGCATCCATGTACGCACTGGACTTGGGGAGGTAGGTACCCAACTGGACCAAAGTACCATCGTCAGCCTCGCCTGCTCTGCTCGCCAGGACCAGCAGGTAAGAAAGCTCGGGCAACAATGGCGACACCCACCTCAACTCATCGTCGCCCGCCTCGGTGGCAAAGACAACACGGCGCAACCCACTCCCAACCCCCCAATACATCCAGGTTTGGCAAGGTCCAGGATGAGCCAGGACCCTGAAGATCCCATCGAATCACCACCGCCAGTGGCTTGCCAAGTGCTTGCTTGGTGTATCCATCGCGAAAAGCATGGTGAGCTCACCACACCACACAACATCAACATCCCTGGTTGACCTCGACAAAAACACCGCGCCTGGGATCTTTGCAGCACTGCTAGCATGCCTGTGTCCTCGCCTAGCCGCCAAACCGTCCTTTATCTGACAATGGCACGTCACGTCCTAAACGTGGCACAGCCTACAGCCTCCCCAGCGCCCTTGATGCACTCAGAGGGCTCTCAGCTGGAGGACGCGCAATTCATTAGCCACCAGATGTTTGAGAGACTGACCCATTCTCAGTACGATGGTCGCGCCCTGTTGTCCTGTCGCTGCTCCTGGCCTACCAGGATCCATCAACCCTGGCCCCCTGCAGCGTGATACCTTTGCCGGCGTCTCAACTGGCCATGGGCCGTGTCCGTCTACCTTGTGCTTTCACGTCAAGGGGCAGCCAGAGTGGCCTTCCCATGGCCACCGAGGCCGCCTGACCGCTCCGTGTCAGACAGTCTACCATCATCGCGATACCACCACCTGGCCACCATGCAGCACACCTACCAGCTGCCTTTGGGGGCTGTCGTAAGGGTCGTTTACAGTACTTACGCCTTTTTTCCTTGCGCTTTCGCTCAAAGGTCGTGCTCGCTTCGAATGCCTCTTCTCCGCCGGCCTGGCAACCCCATCAATTGGTGGGGCAGCATTGGTAGGGCACCACAGCGAGCATACCGCAGCGGACTCGATCGAAGACGCATATGCGTTGTCCCCAAAACCGCAACCGGTATTGCTCCCACTACTACAAAGGAAATCGTCGCCGATAGTAGCAAGTGAGATACCTGAGGGATTTGAACGACAAGGCTGCAAGCCAGGGGGCCTTTCGGCTTGGGCCTGCCTCGCAGCTTCTTCCTTTAATGCTGTTCATCGACCAACACGCCGTCACGTGTTGGTATGGCGACTGGACATACCTGTGGAGGACGAACAGAGTGCTACATCCAATCACCAGTAGCACTTCGTGCTCATCGAGCCTTTCAGGCCCTTCGGCCCCTATTCGAAAGCTTGATCGAACTTGACATGGTCCCACACGCCAGCTCCCGGCCCACCGCGCCTCACCCCTCCGCTTGCCCCTTTGCCCGGGTCCGGCAAAGATCGCCGGCCTCCACGGACGGCGTCGGTTGCTGACTGGCTCTAGTCCCCTTGCCGCCCTCCGCCCTCCGCACGCCCCGGAACGCCCGTCAGGCTTGATCCCTTTTTGCTGCCCCCCTCCTCCAAGGCTGGTGAAACAAGGCCGCCCACTTTTGACTTACGCAGCCTGCATATGCCAGATGCAAGCAAGGTAGGCAAAGCCCAGGGTTCATCGATCCCATTGTCCATTGGAGCAGGTCCACCTCACTAATTCGCTGTCGCCGAACCGGATTCCGAAGTCCACCTCTCCATGTACCGAACCCTTACAGGAGTAAGTTCATCGTTTTTCAACGCGATGGTACCAGTTTGGCAACATTTCAAGTCTTGTCAGAGGAAACCCATCATGTTCTACCGTACCGTGGCCCTGATGGCCCCTGGTTTCGTGATCCAATTGAGACTGGAGGGGTACGTGAAGGACTACCACCATCGGCCATGCTCACGAGCTCCCCAAAAGCTCACATGGTCTTGCTGATCTTGCCCCTTTCACAGCGCCGCAACGCGTTGAACTCCACTCGTTCAAATAGGGTTATGCCTTAGCTCGGCGGGATTGTCAGCCACTTGACTTGCTGTCAATCGAGTGATTGACCTTCGGCGTCCACTTTTGTGAGCCATTCGACGGCAGAGTTGGGGTCGCATTTCCGAACGTTTGACCGTCAGCCCCATCCAGCTCCCGGATGGCGGGTGCCCTCTACGAAGAATCAATGCTACCTCCCTACTCCAGCTAGCCCTGATCACGAGCATGTCGCCTTGCACGAACCAGCCGTTGGCGCTCTGTCGAGTGCCGAGGTTTCTCCACCATCGCGGTTCCTAATCCATTCATTGCAAAGCGTGGTAGGGGCACAGCTGTCGGTGTCCGATCATCGTCCTTGAAACCACGGGTCAGCCATGTGCGAAGACGCCGATCTCGTCATGGAGGGAACGAGCTGAGTGGACAAACTTGCGCAACAGCCTCATCCTCTGAACAGGACCATCCACCAAGTCTTCCCCGCCTGCTCCACCAGCCCGCCAATCTTTTCCCTCTTGCACGACACGTCCCATCCACGCCCTCGGGCGAAGCGTCCGGGCACGTTCAGAAGATCGTCTGCTCTCTTTGCCTGTTTTCGCCCAAACTTGGGGTAAGCTGCTTGACGCCCCGATTGGATCTCGCTCCGTTCCTCGGCTGGCAGGATTGCTGGGCCACTTCTGCAACAAGGTTGCCCGCCTGCCCGCCTGCCTGCACTCTTGGGAGGGGGAGGAGGGAATCAATCAATCAATCATCATCGATCACAGAGGGGGGGAGGTGCTGCAAGTGCTGTCGGTGTGACCCGTGGCACGTAATCTTACTGCTCTCTTTCTATCTGAAGCGCAACTAATGCTGCCGCGTGAGTCCTGCCAGCGGCACGTCACAGCCCGGTTAGGATTTGCAGCCAAACAGAAGCCGCTCGATTTGGCGGCAAAGCAGATCTTCCATATGACAAAACACGGCGAATCTCGATGTGAGGATCGAAAACCCATAAGGCGCCCTACTGGCTCGTGCATCCACTGTCACACGAAGCGTGCTCACTTTGTGCCTCGAAATGATCACAAAGGGAATCGGCCAAATTTGAATGGTGTAATAGGAACAGCGGGTATTATCATCATGTATTAGCTAATGGTACATCGTCGCAATCGATGGCGAGAGAAACATGTGCAGTAAAGTAAGAAAAAGACCAGATCATCCAATAGCTTGTAGCTCTCTAATCGCCCCATGATTTTTCTCCGTCATAGTAGCGACAGTAGTAAGGCTCGCCCATGGTGGAGCACAAAAGACCGCCCTCGCTCGAAAAAAAAAAAAAAAAACACAGGGTAAACGCGAACAGCCACTGAAGGCTTCTGTCCGCGTGAGAAAATTCCACCTTAACGCCGTGATGAGGGTATCGCCAGGTTCTCTCCAAACCGACCAGAGGGCAAAGGAAAACCAAGGGGCAAAGACTCTATTTCCGCCATTGGTCCACCCAATCCGCCTTTATCAGTCCAACGGACGATGAGGCAAAGGTTGTCCGAGACAGGGTGGATCACCCACGGGAGGACCGCCGTGGCTTGAAGGGCGCGTGGTCCAAGGGGGAGAACGATCGACAGTCAGCTTGGTACTGTCATCGTAGCCTCCCACCCTTCCTCGATCCCTCCTCTTCCAAGGGGGGGTTTGTCTCTTCCTACTGGGTGGCCCCCCTTTTCTCTTTCACCCACTTGGAGTGGGACGTGCTGTGTACAACCTCGAAAGGAGCCCGACAGTCTGATCTACTGTCGGTTTGCGTGTATATGGAACAAAAATTAAAACCCAGTCCACTCCATTGCCTGTAATTCTGAGAATCGACTTTTGTCTTCGTGATGTTGTAGGCGCCAAGCATGGATGGGATAGCGGGAACGAAGGTAGAGAAACGTATTGTAAACAGAGAGCGGTGACCAGTGATCGCGCAGTCGACTAGCGCATTCACTGCAGCACCGCCCTAGGGGGCAAGAGGCTGGAAATGCAAGGGGCCCCAGCAGGAAAGGGGGGCTCCAAAATGGACGATCATGACTTGATGAGGAAAGGTCGTGGTCTCGTGCGAAGAGATCCTCGCTGATGTGGGAAAGTGACAAGGTGTGATGCCTTAGTCGGACTGGTGATCCTCGGAGCCAGCTTCGGACCTCGCATCGCCCTTGTGTACCTTCTTGTGACGGCGAAGGTTGGAGACGACGGAGAAGTGACGGCCGCATCCTTCGACCTCGCATGCAAACGCTGTCCAATGTTAGTGCCGTGGTCCATAGAGGGCTGGAGGAACATGGGCAACGTACGCTTCTCGCCAGTGTGGCTGTACATGTGTGTTTGCAGTGATGAGGGGCGCGTGAAGCGCTTGTCGCACACCTTGCACTTGTGCTTCTTATGCGTGCTCGAAGACACCTTGGAACTAAACTGACCCATCATGGACTGGAGCGCTAGCGGAGCATGGTTTCAGTAGGCGGTGAGGGGCGGTGGTAGGGTGCGCGACGTGACCGACTCAAATGTCGGACGTTGAGTAGTCGCTGACAGAGTCTGCGCCCATAGTAGCTTCCAAACCCCGCCAGCCGAAGAGACGGACGAGCTAGTGGAGTGGGTGGAGGGGAAGCCCGTAGGAGTCTTGCGAGCTCCTGTCGGTGCGGGTGCCATAGATGGGTCGCGGGGTCTCCTGGCTCATGGCCAGCATGCCGTGGCCGGCATCGATGGCGTCTGCGAAACTCCTCCTCTCGTCGTGGATACCTCTGTGGTCAAAGTCAATCAATGATGCTCTTTGCGGTCTGGACATCATTGTCGAATCGGAACCGCCGTATGGCGAGGCAGAGGGTACTGACGGGTGTGAGAATCTCCTGGAGTGGTCGTGCTCAGGAGCAAGGGCAAAGGCCGACCTCACGGGCGGTGCTGGGGCGTAACCCATAGACTCGTAGGGTGCGGGGGATGCCGTGTAAGAGGCGTTGACAGGAGACGCGGACGAGGCGTAGCTGCTGCTGGCGTCTGTGTAGGGGGCGGCGGTGGTTGCGTGCATCCGGCTGATGCTCATAACATCTTGAGGAAGTGTGAGTAGATCCGGTCTGGGCAGAGGGTCTGCCATGGGGAGGCTACCTGCTGAAGCTGCTGTGACGGGAATCTGGCCGTAGGAACCAAGGGACGACGCGGAGCTGCTGGTGCTGGCGCGCGCATGCGCCCTGTCCAGAGGGCCGAGACCCGGGTGAAGGCCCTGGTGGCCATTGACGTACAGGGCGTGGCTGTTGTTGGGCGGCGAGGAAGAAGAACCCCAAGGGTTGGAGAACTGGGGGGCAGCGGAGGAGGAAGCTTGGTAGGAAGACATCGGATCCAAGTTCAGGGGGCCGAATCGTTGTTGTGATGAGTCCAGTGTCATAGTCATGATGATGGACGGCGTTCAGGTGAGGGAAGATGTTCTTCCAGGAACAAAAAGGTTGATGGGTATGTGGGTAGATAGGTAGGTAGGTATGCTGATCAAGAGAGCGCGTCCAATGTTGGTGAGAGGCCAAGTAGTGACACAGATCAGATGGGATGGAAGATCTCCTTTCCAACGAGGTGTTGAAGATGGGGGATCAGCGAGGTATAAGTGTGAACCAGTGGACTACTGACACAGGCACTACACCAGTAGAAGCTGAGGCCAGTGGTTTGGGCGGATCCAGGAGAGAGAAAGAGAGAGGCCTGGGAAGCAAGTCGTCTGAAGCTTGTCGCACACTGGTCAGCGGGACATGGGGTGGTGGAGATCGCCCTTTGGTCCGTTCGCTGCCTTTTGGGGTGGGAGGGGCAAAGAGGAGTGGTGCAGAAGCTGTGACGGCTCCGACTCAGGGAGATCGACAGAGCAATGCCCCGTAGAAGAGAGGCCGAGGTGGCAGGGATTTGGGGCGATTAGGTAGGGTCGCAGGCTGGCTCAGATTGGAGACCAGGTTGCCAGGGGATGGAAGGGTGGGTGTCAAGATGGCTCTGCGCGCCTTGTCCCTCGAGTAAAACGGCCTTTTTTTGAAGGTTTTTTGTTTTCTCAGTCGTCGTCTTCCACAATCGTGTGAATAGATGACGAGTATGTTTGGACAGGGGTCGTCCAAGAAGTAGATTAGGGAGGTAACAAATTGACTTGATCAAGTCCGATGAGTTTGTGGGGATGTCGTGGGCGTGCCAATACTGGGAACCAATATGGGATGGTCGATGGACAGCAGCCCCCTTTCGATTTGATGTTGAGAAGACACGCCTTGTCGTTCAGCAAGGCTGGCTCACAGTCGCAGAGTCGCTGGAGGCGTACAACGTTGAGGGGGGGCGTGATACAAGTGAGAATGGTACTTGAGGGTACAGTAGGAGTGGAAGCCGTTTGAGATGTCTAGTTTGGTTGTCAACGGCGTGATGATGATCATGAGGATCAGGAGTAAAATCGGGTCGCGGGGGGGGAGGGAGGCGAGGGGGACCAAGGTTTTTTACTTTGGGGGGTGGCCCGGGGTTTTTTTGGGGAGGAGTGACGCCTGCCGACAGAAGAAAAACCCCAACCTGCCAAGAAGGGCGGGGGAAATGTGCCGCGGGAAGAACCACATGGAAAGTTTATGATTTCGTTTTTCCTCGGGACACTGAATGGGGTGGGTCGAGGAGAAGGGGGTCCCCCATAACAGCGAGGGGCATTGACAGGGGATAGGGGTTTGGGAAAAGAGGGGATAGGTACAGTAGAGCGGAAGGAAGGGGAGGGGGGGGGCGTGTAGTGGAGAGGCAAAAAGAGGAAGGGTCCAGCAATGGGGAGGAGAGGGGGGGGGATGTCTGTTTCTTTCGAAAGGCGCCCAGGGTCCGCAGGGACAGGGACGCGAAGCTGGGGGTACCGGTACCGGTAGCAGCATCGGTATTGGTGCTGGCGCTGGCGCTGGCGCTGGCTGGTGGTTGTTCATGCCTGCTCCTCCAACTTTGCTTGCTTGGGGCCGTAAAACAGTCATTTTTCGACCTGTCCGTGCTCAGTGCAGCCGCCCCAGTACGGGGACCCGGCAAAAATGGCTGACATTAGAGGGTGAGTGCTAATATCGTTTTTGCTGTTGATTCATATCGGGAAGGACATGGCGTCTTGTAGTCTCGTCAACCCATCAAAACCCATGCCGATTCTCGAGACCAGCGTCCTGCCAGCCCCAAAAAAAAGCCGCTGGATCGTGTTTCCCTGATCTCTGATGGAGACCAATATGCAGGGTCTGACGTTTCAACCGTGGCGGCTTGCGGCGCATCGCTGCCCTGACTCGGAGTGGCGTTGACGATATGGTAAATGCGGGATAGCTCTGAGCTTGGACGGGCAACTAGGGGCAACTTTGGCTGACGGGCAGCAAGAATCTGATGTAGGTAGGTGAAGACGTATGGACAGCGCTGTTGGTCGCATGCCCGCCGCCCCGTAGGTCAAGTTGATGGGACCACAGGACGGAATGGGGCAAAGCCACGGCCGGGTGTCTGTTTCCCGCCGCTGCAAGCCCCCCCTCGTTAGCGACGCCTGCCCGCGTCTACCATTGTAACGAAGGTGAACGCACTCTGGAAAGAACCCCCTCCTCCCTCGAAGCATGCGCTGTCAACAATAGTGATATCAGTCCATGACAAAGAAGGATTTCTCAGAGTCGTCAAGACTACCAGAATTGGACCGTCTGCGTGGCATCGGCTGCATAGACGGAATATATTCACCTGCAACTGTCAGTGTTTCTTTCCCTCAATCCCCAACCACAGGAACTTGGTGGGCACATTGGACACCCAGTGATGGCCTGGGGCTCTCGGGGGGCCTGTCTCCCTGGTTCAGTGTGGCAGCGTGATGCGCGATGTGGTGGATTAAAAAAAGTCGAGTGGGGGGAATGGACAGGATGAATGTGGATGCGGATGACGGCAAGGATGGGAAAGAGAGTTCCACAGACGTACTGCCTGCCACTGAGCATCGAGAAAAGGTCAAGTGTGAGGATAGGGCTTTTGGTCGAAGAGTGGGGTCATGGGGGCGTTGATGCAGTAGAATGACGTCGGTGGGAGCAGGGGCGCTCCTTCTTGAAACAAACACCGCCCAGCATCCACACTGGGGCCTTCTCTCTCTTGCTCGCTCGCTCACTGTTACTGTCGCTGTCACTGTTCACGTAGAGGACCGACCCTCTGTCCTCCCCGTCCCCCCCCCCCAAATCGCCGCTGGGCCCCCCTTTGGCGGCGGCCCCTCTGGGCGGCGAACCACATGGCTAGATAAAAGCGCTTTTGCCCAGCCCGTTGTTGTCCTCAGGGGAAGGTTCCCGCGAGGAACTGCAGGCGACTGTTTCAGCGGTGGATTAAATGGGATCGCGCCCTGCTCTGAAGGTAGCGCTTCAGTAAAGGTTATTATTTAAACTAAGTTAGTGAGACGTTAACAAGTTGGGGAGTCAAATACGGAAATTTGAGAGAAAATAACAGAGGACCATACCTGAGCGAGTGTTTTTGTTTTATTTATATTA